CTAGGAATAGGAAAGTAGTCTGAAGCCAGATGATAAAGGTCCTTTTATGGCCAAACTAAGGAGTTCAGGTATTATTGTTACAGGAGAGCTATTGAGGTTTTTGAGTAGGGCACTTACATATTCATTCTGTACTTCAGGAATGAATCAGTAGAGGGGATAAATGAGGGTGCCCTCAAAATTGCAAGCAATGAAGTATTAGAACTGAATTTTTAGGGACAGCAATACCAGCCTAACTGGCTCCATAAGAGAAGATTGGGTGTTTGGGAGAGGCAAAAAATAAGGCCAACAGAAAAGGTAGGGTAGGGATAGAATATAAAGGGCTTGAAAGCCAGGTAAAAGCATATAAACTGGGATCCCTGGGTTCTAATACCTGTTTCCCTACTTGGAGAAAGTCCCCTTATCTTTTTGAAAACCCAGTTGCCTTTTCCTGGGGTTTGCTTCAGCTATAAATGTTGTAATTTTCTACAATGCTCTGACCTGCTACAGTGGCTCTGAAACCTTGACTGCACACTGGAATCACCCAGAGAGCTTTTAAAAGCTATTGACGGCTAGATCTCACTACCAAAGACTCAGATTTATCTGGTCTCAGATGCAGCCTGGACACTGAGATATTTAAAAGTTCTCCAGGTGATTCTAATGTGCAGCCAAGGTTGAGATCAACTCATGTAGAAAATAGTGAAGCACTAAGATTCTTGAGCATGGTAATAATGTTAAAGTTTAGTTTAGTTTATTTTTTTTTCCCCCCAAGACGGAATCTTGTTCTGTTGCCCAGGCTGGAGTACAATGGCATGATCTCAACTCACTGCAACCTCCACCTCCTGGGTTCAAGCGATTCTCCTGCCTCAGCCTCTCAAGTAGCTAGGATTACAGGTGCGCACCACAACATCTGGCTAATCTTTTGTATTTTTAGTAGAGACGGGGTTTCACTATGTTGACCAGGCTGATCTCGAACTCCTGACCTTGTAATCTGCCTACCTCGGCCTCCCAAAGTGCTGGGATTACAGGCATGAGCCGCTGCGCCTGGCTGAAAAAAGGTATTTGAAGAAAGACTAACAGGAATATACAGACTAGTAGGCAAAGACTACAGAAGATCAACAAGAATTTTGCAATAATCTAAGAGAAAAGTTTAGTAAGGGCTGGATTAGCATACATACAATGATGTTGAAGGGAGGAAGATGACTGCAAGAAACATTTAGAGAGAAGTAGCACCAGGATTCAGTAAGTGATTGAATATTAAATCTGAGCAAAAGGAAAAAAAAATATGGTCAAGTTTCTAGCATAGAACAACAATAGGATCCTTAACAAAATTAAAGTAGTTGTGAAACAGCTGGTTAATATTGTTGAGAATATGGAAACTAATATTAAATTCTAAGTCAGGGTCTAACCTATGTGCCTTACATACATTATCTCATTTAATCTTTACAACAACCATATAAATACTACTATCATTCCCATTTTACAGATTTAGAAACTGAGGAAGAGTAATTAAATTATTTGTCCAAAGTTACACAGTAAGTGATAGAGAAGACATTTGATCTCAACTGGTTTAACTACTTTTCCTTTTAGGAAGATGACCAGTTTACATATGGAATCTGTTGAATTTGAACAAACAACTCAAGAAAGCAAAATGGCTATAGAGGCCAGATGGGAACATAAATGAGTGAATCAAGTCAGATGCAACTTGGAGAAATCAAAACATCAAGAGGAGGCAGTTCTACTTAGCTATGCTTGAATGTTGCCCTATGAGACTTTCAGGCCCAGTGTTGCCATATTTTAATATTTTTCATGAAAAGATGGAAATCTGGATTTGTATGTAAAAATTTGTGTGAATATCAAATTCAAGTGTTTAAAACTACTGTGGCCCAAACTATGGCTTCAAGTTTGCATCTCTGAGCAAAAGCCTGTTGGAAATTCAGAACTGGATGTAAAGTGAGAGATCTGGGCTGAAAGTATATGATTAGGGAATTCATAAGCACAGAGAGGATGGTAGATGCTTCCAAAATAGTATGTATTAGAATAGTAACTAGCACTTGACATGATTGGTTAAAATAAGGCAAAAATATATGAGTTAATAAGTTAGGACTTAGAGAAAACTGATAAAATGGAAGTGGAAAACTAGCAGACTGAAGTGGGTATATTTAAAATTCAATTTTCAATGAACTAAAAGCTAAATTCCAGACAATGCCTTTTTTTTTTTTTTTTTTTTAAGATAGAATCTCGCTCTGTTGTCCAGGCTGGAGTGCAGTGGCATGATCATGGCTCACTTCAGCCTCGACCTCCAGGGCTCAAGCAATCCTACTGCCTCAGCCTCCCAAGTAGCTGGTACTACAGGCATGTGGGACACAGGCTAATTTTTGTATTTTTTGTAGAGACGGGTTTTCACCACGTTGCACAGGCTAGTCTCAAACTCCTGAGCTCAAGTATGAGCCACCGTGCCCAGCAATTTTTTTTTTTTTTTTTTTTGAGACAGGGTCTCACTCTATTGCCCTGGCTGGAGTGCAGTGGCGTGATCACGGCTCATTGCAGCCTCAAAGTTCTGGGCTTAAGGGATTTGCCCATGTCAGCCTCCCAAGTAGCTGATACTACAAATGCATGTCACCACATCCGGATCTTTTTTTAACTTTTAAATTTTAGAGACGGGGGAAGGGGGGTTTCCCTATGTTGCCCTGATTGGTCTCCAACTCCTGGGCTCAAGGGATCCTTCCACCTTGGCCTCCCAAAGTGCTATTTAATTTTCATATATCCATGATGTGATGGAAACATTTAGAAAGTTTCAATGTTTATTTCCCTCACTTAATAGATTTCAATTTGAAAAAAACTATTGTCTAGACTTCAAAGAGAATATTCACCTAGCCCTAAAAGCTGGATGTTCTTATAATTAAGACACTTAAAATTCAGTAATTAAAAATTTTTTACCCTGGGCACAGTGGCTCACACCTGTAATCCCAGCACTTTGGAGAGGCCTAGGTGGGTGGCTCACTTGAGGTCAGGAGTTTGAGACCAGTCTGGGCAACATGGTGAAACCCAGTCTCAACTAGAAATACAAAAATCAGCTGGGTGTGGTGGCACATGCTTGTAATCCCTGCTACTCAGGAGGCTGAGGCACGAGAAATGCTTGAACCCAGGAGGTAGGGGCTGCAGTGAGCAGAGATCACGCCACTACACTCCAGCCTGGGTGACAAAGTGAGACTCTGTCTCAAAAAAAAATTTTTTTCCTAAAGGTTTTAATGTTTTATTTAATCTTTGCTAATTGTGAACCCTTCTGCAATGGGCTTTGCAGGTTTGATTTCAATCTGAAATCTTTCTATTTAAGTGACAGAAAGGTAACTGAAAGATTGTCTTATCAGTATTTTTACTCTTTCTACCTTAGGTTACTCCCTTCCAGGTCAATTTCTCACATAAACTCATATCTGCAAAGCCCATACCAAAAGGGTTCACAATTAGCAAAGATTAAATAAAATATTAAGTAAAACCTTTTTAAAATTTTTAATTACTGAATTTTAAGTGTCTTAATTATAAGAACATCCGACTTTTAGGGCTAGGTGAATATTATCTTTGAAGTCTAGACAATAGTTTTTGACTACTACTCTTCCTAGTAAACTAATGTATTCGTTCATTATCAGATATATGGAATGTAAACCAGTTATGTCAAAATATCACATATACTAAATGCATTTTTCCAAACCTTAAAGCCCTACAGAAATTATAAAGAAACATTATTCTGGTGTTATCATGAAGCTAGAAGGGTCCAAAAAATTACAAAGTGAAACCTCTTGTATTTAAAACAAAACTTACACCACCACCACCACCCCAAAATATATATATATATTTTTAGAATATCTCTTCCAAGTTTTAAAGTTCAAGTAAAATAGATTTAATAGCAGTAAGCGTAGTAACAGTAAGGTGGGGAATGCTGACTTTATTCTATAGCAAAGATCTACAGATGCTGGAATTGTATTAGAAACCTGTAGAGCCACACCACAGCCTTCTGTTATCACATTTAAATGTCGCAGGAAAAACTGCAATTTTCCTGAAAATTGTATTAAGGACCAGGTGCTCTAATACCAAGAGCTGTTTTGACACATCAAAGGTTAAGTTTGGGTCTTTGAAAATCCTGCCTCTTACTGAACACTTTCTTTAAAAGTCATTCATGTTAAAACACACACATTCTTGCCTTTGACTATACACTGTGAAAGTACTACATGTTAAAATGGAGATGGGGACATTTTTGTTGTTTAAGTTTATGGAAGTATGACTCCATTTTAGTGTAACCACAGTGTCGCAACCGATGGAATAAGGTACCCATCAACACATTACCTGAGAAGTATACAAAGTTCAACTTGCCGGCTTTGAAAAGCCTAATCCTATTTATTACGGTTGACCCTAAATAAAATGAAAATACACAACTGACAATGTTTAACGTGCACTTAAAAAACAAAACAAAACAAAACAACCCAGGAGCCAGCAATTTGAAATCCTCCAAACACCCGCGGAAGTCTGACACACAGGGTGTTTTCCTCGGTGACCGCCAGCGGGACATTCCTATGGGAAAAGCTGCTTCTTGTGTGCGGTACACAGACAGACAATCAACCCCTTCCTTTCATCCCCTTCTCATTCACTCTGCAGGGGGTGGGCCAATAAGGAGCTGAATGAAGCTCTCCTTTCGCATCAGGGCGCAAGTCTCGCCTCCTCCCCACTACTCTCTGGGTTCCCTAAGGCTGCCGAAGCCGAGGACCTGGAATTGGGTAGTGTCCCGGCGCTGCGCCCGGGGGGCGCCAGGCCTCAACCCGACGGGCCCGGCCCCTGGAGAGGCCAGGCACGCGAGGGCAGCCACAGCTCCAAGGGGCGCCAAGAAAAGCAACGCTCACTCGCCACGCATAGGGCTCCGGGGAGGTAAGGGTGCGTTTTCTTCCCATATTCCCGGTGAGAAAACGAGGTCGGGAGAAAAGGGGATGATACAACTGGAGCATGGGATATCGACTCAGCGAACAAAGGGACTGGAGCAAGAAGCAGCAGCCACACCAACGCAGACTCAAAAGGGCTCTCCGGCTTTACGCACGCAGCCCACATCTCGGCAGCGCTCCGCGCCCCTTACGCCACTGGCTCAGCCTCAGAGACTTCGCGAATATGGCTTTGCGCACTGCGGCGGGGCTGCGCCGCAACCGAGCTCAGCCCTGTGGCTCCTCCCCGTTGCCCTGCGCGGATTGGTGGCAGACGGCAACCGGGCCGCTGATTGGGCGGCGAAGGAGCCATTCGGGGCGGCTCTGGTGGGTTCGGCTGCCCCAAGAGTGATAAGTTCGGCTTCAGACACGCCTCAGCGCCAGCAGTGAGTCGGAGCTCTATGGAGGTGGCGGTGGGTACCGGGTGGCGGCTGCAGCAGTGACTCCTCTGAGCTGAGTTTCAGGCCGTTCCCGACTCCTTCCTTCCCCTTCCCTCCCCCTTTTTTTTTTGTTTTCCGTTCCCCTTTCCCCTCCCTTCCCTATCCCCGACGACCGGATCCTGAGGAGGCAGCTGCGGTGGCAGCTGCTGACTTCTCGGTGAAGGTGAGTGGAGCCGCCGCCGCCGCCGCCGCCGAGTGGAGCGCTCTAAAATGGCCGCCGTCCCTGGCCGCTTCTTCTCGAGTGGTACAAAATGGCGGCCGCAGGCGGAGCCGGGTGGGGCGACCCTTTTTTAGCATTTCCTCTGCGCTTCAGACACCTGGAAAGTCTTGGCCTTTGTTATCTCTTCCTGTTGCTGACGGAGTAGAAGGAAAACGTCAGTGTTGGCCAGACCGCCGTGCGGTCATGGCCGGATGGCCGACCCCTGCAGGGCCGAGGCCGTGGCGGACCGAGGCACGGGTGTGCTGGGACGGCGAGGGAGCGCGGCTCGGACCGCGAGCGCCGAGGCGGGAGGCACGCGGGCCGGCAGGGAGGGCCCGGCCGTTGGCGCGGGACCAGGGAACCGCAGGTGTCCCGGAGCCCGGCCTCCCGGCGGGGAGGTGTGTAGGGCCTGGAGTCGGCGGGGCTGCCCTTTGAGGGGAGGAAAAGAGAGAGAGATGATTTCTGCTTCTTTTGTCAGCCGAGGAGGCCGTGGCGAGGCGGTTGTCAGTCCCAGGGGGATTTATGGGGCAGGATGGGGCCCGCTTGGAGGCGGCGGGTGGGCAGGAGGCCGCCTTCCTGCCTGGAGAACAAAGAGCTGGGCGCCGGGCCGGCGGGGGCGGCCTCAGCTGCTCCTCCCAGCCGAGCGACCCGCGGCCTCGCGGGGAGGTTGTCGGAAGCACTTCCCTAACTTGCGCCTGGGTGGGAGGAATGCTCCGCTCTTTTGTTCCCAGGAAGGGAAAAACGGGGCGGAGGTTCCTGCTGCCATGTTGTAGCCCAGGTCTTCCGCTTGCGAGTGCTAGCCCCGTACACCCGGCCCCCTCTCGCGCGTCTCTCCACGAGCTCTCCACGGGGAGGAGGCGAAAGGGTAGACAGGGGAAAACTGCTGAAGAGCTTTCGGAGAGACCTCATGCAGTCGCTGGCCTCCTCGTCGAGGCAGTAAAAATTCCTAGGGCAGACATTTTCCACGTGATGTTGCTCGTGTCTATAGTTAGATTTTTCTATTGATCTCAGTGCTCAGTTTTAAAGACAGTAGAATGTGGGTTTTTCAAAAGATTCGTTCTGAGCCGTTTGAAATACTCTTGTGTTCTACGAAGTCTCTTTGCATCCTTGAATACCGGGGAATTTCCAGGTGGCTAAACAAAATGTAATTGTCTATTTGTGTTTTGAGTACATTCTAGATTAGTCTTACAGATCTGCAATGCAGTGACAGTGCCAGGATCTGAAATACGTTATAATTGAATGAAGGCTTATAGATCTGTATGTTAGTTAGAAGTGTCTCATTTTGGTGCTCTTTCTCGTTCCAGGTATTTCATTTCTCCCATCCCCTCCCCTCCCCACCCCATCTATTAATATTATTCTTTTGAAGATTCTTCGTTGTCAAGCCGCCAAAGTGGAGAGTGCGATTGCAGAAGGGGGTGCTTCTCGTTTCAGGTATGTCTAGATTGATTTTGGGGAATCCTTTTGAAAAGGCCAGTCCCAAAACTTAGATACCATGGCAAATAATTCCGACTTAATGGGCTGCAATTTTCATTTGAAAAGTTCTTAAGTTTTCATTGACAGCCTTCTAAGAACTGCCATCTGAAGAATAAAATCAAGTATTTGCCTTTCCTTTGGGTCCCAGTTTAGTCTTCATTTGTAGCATAACATACGAACACTAAAATACAGGCCTGGCTACAGTCTGGGCAAAATAGCGAGACCCCCATCTCTACAAGAAAAGCAAAACACAAAATAGATGGTTTATTCTTTTTGAGTGAGACATTGTTGGGATACAGTAAACAAAAAAGTTTTTTTCTTTTAAATAGTGCTTCTTCGGGCGGAGGAGGAAGTAGGGGTGCACCTCAGCACTATCCCAAGACTGCTGGCAACAGGTGTGGTAAACGTGAAAAAAAAAACTGAGCTTTATTTAACAAATTAAGTTAAAAGTCTTTCCCGTGTGATGGTGTAATTAAGGCAATAGCCATCAAGACTCCTAATCTTAAGGGGCATGGTTTCTGTTGGGTATCCTAAATATAGAATATCAGCTCTTGATTATTCCTTAGCCAAATTATCTAAATGAGTTGAGACTCTCAAACTTACCTTTTTTCTTATTCTTTGGGTTATTTTTACTAATTTTTTTTCCGAAATTAGTAGCTGTTATTCCTACTAATTGGTATTAGTAAAGTGGTACACATGCAACATGGTCAGTAAAACATTAGAAAGTGTTCATTGGCAGCTGGTATAGTGGCTCACACCTGTAATCCCAGCAACAACTTGGGGAGGCAAAAGTGGGAGGATCGCTTGAGCCCAGGAGTTTGAGAGCAGCCTGGGCAACCCAGCAAGACCCTCTCTCTTTTAAAAAAAAAAAAAAAAATGTTAGTTTTCAAAATGTGATTCCTGGATCCACAGCGTTGATACTGGGAATATTTACTAGACATGCAAATTCTTAGGCCCCACCCCAAACCAGTGAAAGCAGAAACTGGGTGGGCCCAGCAATCTGTTTTAACAGGCCCTTCAGGTGATTCTGATGCACACTACCCTTACAGAACCACTGATCTCCAGAGTTGACTTTTTGGGAGGGGAAGTCGAGAAAGCCTAAATTACTTTCTCTGTTTGAGAGAATTTATGATGTTTAACATTTGTTGTGTGAAAATAAGTGTTATTGCTGATTTTTATTAGCGAGTTCCTGGGGAAAACCCCAGGGCAAAACGCTCAGAAATGGATTCCTGCACGAAGCACTAGACGAGATGACAACTCCGCAGCAAACAACTCCGCAAACGAAAAAGAACGACATGATGCAATCTTCAGGAAAGTAAGAGGGTAAGTTGGAAGGTCTGTTTTACTAAAAGATGGGAAATAGTATGAATTAACTGTGTTTGGTGTGTGTGCTGTACTACTAAGAAGGCAAGGGTACCTTGAACTAGCCAGGCACTGTGGCTCATGCCTGTAATCCCAGCACTTTGGGAGGCCAAGGTGGGCAGATCACTTGAGGTCAGGAGTTCAAGACCAGCCTGGCCAACATGTTGAAACTCCATCTCTACTAAAAATACAAAAATTAGCCGGGTGTAGTGGCAGGCGCCTGTTTTTCCAGCTACTAAAAAGGCTGAGGCAGGAGAATCACTTGAACACCCTACAGGTGGAGGTTTCAGTGAGCCAAGATCACACCACTGCACTCCAGCCTGGGTGACAGAACAAGACTGTCTCAAAAAAAAAGAAAAAATGTATCTTGAACGTTGTATTTTTGGGCTTACGGTTGCTTTTAGCCATCGGATTGCAATCCATAATCCTGTTGTGCTAACATTTGCGCTGGCTAAGGGAAGTGCTATGTTATTTAAGCCAGTGAAGCAGGGAATATAATGGTCTTAGTTCATGGTCTAGCCTTGATAATGAGATCTTTGCACTCTAACCTTGAGAAAGTGAGAAAGGATTCTTGTCAAACAGCTGGGAACCCCCCTATCTAATTCAAATCATTGTAATTAAAATAACAGGTTTATTTCAGCATTCCTTTGGTTTTAGACGAGTAAGAAAACATGTCTTGATTATTAAAGGGAGCAAGTGGAAGAAAAATCAGTATAATTTAAAAGCAGTTTTTCAATTCAAATTCTGTGTATTAGCTAACACTTAAAATGTAATTCCTTTTTCTCCAGCATACTAAATAAGCTTACTCCTGAAAAGTTTGACAAGCTATGCCTTGAGCTCCTCAATGTGGGTGTAGAGTCTAAACTCATCCTTAAAGGGGTCATACTGCTGGTAAGTTTTAAATATTGGCTTAACTCAAAAGGGAGAGGGAACTGTTTAACAAACTCAAGTTGTGTTTTTTTACACTTGGATTACTACTTAAAACCCTGAGGTGTGATTTTTGAATACTGATAGTGATTAGAAAGAACCACTGACTTCAGTAGCATTAGATTAAAGAGGTAAATGTTCATACTATGCTTGAAGAGATAAATGGTGGTGCTCAGCAAGCTCTTTGGTGGAAAACACCATATTTTGGTCTTGGAAATGCATTGTATGACAGTTTATGTAGACTTGAAAGTTTTGATATCCATGCCATTTTCTGACTGCCTGGAGAGATGGATGTCACTAGATGAGAACTGGTATAACTGGACATTTTTGGTACAGTGTAATAGCTAACATTTAGGTGGTTGTATTTTTCCTAAAGGAAGGGTTCTTGGAAGTAGTATTCGTATTTAGTTTAAGCAATGACATTTTCTGTAGATTGTGGACAAAGCCCTAGAAGAGCCAAAGTATAGCTCACTGTATGCTCAGCTATGTCTGCGATTGGCAGAAGATGCACCAAACTTTGATGGCCCAGCAGCAGAGGGTCAACCAGGACAGAAGCAAAGCACCGTAAGTGGTAGTTTTTGTTTGCTTGTTTTAAAGTTAACTTGAAAAATTTCCTTAAGGCATGACAAATGTCTTTTTTCCTAGACATTCAGACGCCTCCTAATTTCCAAATTACAAGATGAATTTGAAAACCGAACTAGAAATGTTGATGGTAAGACTTACAGTTGATACTAAGTAGTACTGTATATTTTCAGCTTAATTCTGAATGTTGTCTTACTTCATTGTTATTTTTTTCAGTCTATGATAAGCGTGAAAATCCCCTCCTCCCCGAGGAGGAGGAACAGAGAGCCATTGCTAAGATCAAGATGTTGGGAAACATCAAATTCATTGGAGAGCTTGGCAAGCTTGATCTTATTCACGAATCTATCCTTCATAAGTGCATCAAAACAGTAAGTGTGACGGGGAAGTTAGGCTTAGGTGAATGTAGTCAATCATTATTTAGGGGAAATGAGTCAGTTATTCATCTGAGAGGGAGGTTGACTAGTTAAATACAAATGGGCAACAAAATTTGCCAAACATAGAATAATAATTTGAAATATGTGGTGTTTGACAAAGTAGGGTTAGAACTGATCAGATTGGTAGAAAGCACTATACTAGATTCTGTAGGAACTGTGAATGAGTCAGTGCAAACGTAAAGGGAAAGTACTACGCCTAAACCAGAGTAACTGTAAAATTTTGTCACCACGGCATTTTATTCTTGCAGCTTTTGGAAAAGAAGAAGAGAGTCCAACTCAAAGATATGGGAGAGGATTTGGAGTGCCTCTGTCAGATAATGAGGACAGTGGGACCTAGATTAGACCATGAACGAGCCAAGGTATGTGTGTAGCTGATGGAAGCAGTACAAGTAGTTTGTCTTTAAATCAAGCTATTTATTTTTGTGACATCATAGGGGATTGCCATATTTAGCCATTAACTGGGTTGTAATCTAGAAGTCTTAAAACTGTAAATTGAACACATTTGCTTTAGCTCTTCCAATGAGTGTATTTTTCTCTTACCAGTCCTTAATGGATCAGTACTTTGCCCGAATGTGCTCCTTGATGTTAAGTAAGGAATTGCCAGCGAGGATTCGTTTCCTGCTGCAGGTAAAATTGGTTTCTTTAAATGTGTTGATAAGCTGAGTTTTTGGTTTAGGAATATTGAAATATATTTTTCAATTAAAGGATACCGTAGAGTTGCGAGAACACCATTGGGTTCCTCGCAAGGCTTTTCTTGACAATGGACCAAAGACGATCAATCAAATCCGTCAAGATGCAGTAAAAGTAAGATTGGGTTTTTGTTTTGTCACATAGACTTTGTGTTTGTAGAGTAGTATGGTATTCTTCCCCACCCACCCCGAACACTTGAGGGGTCTGTCTCATCTTAGTGGCGGAGCTTAATGTTTTTAGTGTCTTGTCTTCCATTTTTATTTTTTTACTTTTTGAGACGGAATTTCACACTGTCACCCAGGCTGGAGTGCAGTGGCACAGTCTCGATTCACTGCAACCTCTGCCTCCCAGGTTCAAGCGATCTCCTGCCTCAGCCTCCCCAGTAGCTGGGACTATAGGCCTGCGCCACCACAACCCACTAATTTTTTGTATTTTTAGTAGAGATGGTTCTACCATGTTGGCCAGGCTCGTCTTGAACTCCTGACCTCATGCAAACCAAGGCTTGGGCCTCCCAAAGTGCTGGGATTACAGATGTGAGCGACCATGCCCAGCCTTGTCTCCCATTTTTGGAAGAAGTTATTTACAGAAATAGCATAAATTATGGTTTTAATATTCTAGGTTTCCCCCCAGTTGCAAAAATTTTAGTTTTAAGTAAAATAGGGTCCAGAGACAAAAAGTGGTTATTCACTTCATTTCTAAAGGATCTAGGGGTGTTTATTCCTGCTCCCATGGCTCAAGGGATGAGAAGTGACTTCTTTCTGGAGGGACCGTTCATGCCACCCAGGATGAAAATAGATAGGGACCCACTTGGAGGACTTGCTGATATGTTTGGACAAATGCCAGGTAATTTTGAAAAAAACAATGGTTTCATTAAGCTGAAAAATCAGTTTAACTTTGTCAGTGGAGTTTTGAGAGTTGTCCGTATATGTATTTTAAGGTAGCGGAATTGGTACTGGTCCAGGAGTTATCCAGGATAGATTTTCACCCACCATGGGACGTCATCGTTCAAATCAACTGTTCAATGGCCATGGGGGACACATCATGCCTCCCACACAGTCGCAGTTTGGAGAGATGGGAGGCAAGTTTATGAAAAGCCAGGTAAGTAAGATTTGAGTGTTTAGGCAATAAGTGTTAAATTCTGCAATATATGTGATTTCATTTGCCGTTAAAACATGGAACTATTTTAGGAGTGTGCGTGTTTTCTAAACCATATCTGCAACATTTATTTCAAACTAAAATGTTTATCCTTAAGATTAATAAAGTATTAGTAAAATGACATCACTTTGACAGTTAGGTTAGATTTTTATTCTTCCCTGTTTCATCTTTTACTTTCTCTGGGCAGATTCAATTAAACTTTCTTTTTGGCTTGGCTCATCCCTTTGGTACTTGATTACCGTAATTTGTGGACCCCTTTTTATCTAGACTGACTTTCTCCTTTTCTGAAATAGGGGCTAAGCCAGCTCTACCATAACCAGAGTCAGGGACTCTTATCCCAGCTGCAAGGACAGTCGAAGGATATGCCACCTCGGTTTTCTAAGAAAGGACAGCTTAATGCAGATGAGGTACATTTGCCTATGTTACTTTATACCATAGTTTGTCAATTCAGAAATTTATTGCCCGATGATTATAAAAAGACGCGTTATTAAGAGGACTTAATGCTGGAGTTCTTTACATTTTTCTCTCTTTTCTGTACTTAATTTTTCTTTCTTTGAATGTCCAGCATCCTGTGAGTGAAGATTATGAGATATGAGGGCAAGTCTGCTAAAGTCTATTAGTTAGGGCAAGGAAAATGGTTGTCAAGATGTTGTGGTTTCTTTCTTTGTAAGTAGGGTGATTTAAGGATAAAACAAGGCATTTTCTAAACTGGCTAAATTTGCAGTTTTTTATTTGAATATTTTAGTCATGCTAATTCTAAGAGAATTCTCATAAATGTAAGATTTATAGTAGTATCTTACTACTGTATGCATCATCAGATCTTTAAATTTTTTGTCAAAAATTAAACCTGTTAATGTGGAGTGCCGCCTTTAGTTTTATAAAAAGCTTAATGTTTCTCTAGATTCTGTCATGTTTGTATAGGATTTTAGATATTGTATTTAATATGTTCACCAACTGCATGTTGTTAATTTAGTTATATTTTGATTTATTTTCAATTCCAGATTAGCCTGAGGCCTGCTCAGTCTTTCCTAATGAATAAAAACCAAGTGCCAAAGCTTCAGCCCCAGATAACTATGATTCCTCCTAGTGCACAACCACCACGCACTCAAACACCACCTCTGGGACAGGTACAGACCATAGTGTGATAGCATTTTCTGTTGTTCCATTATTTTCTAAAGATGACTGAAGACTTTTTTTTTCTAAATTTAGTATGTTCTTCCCCCTAACTTCATATTCCTTCTTTTAAAAAATGTCTTGTCATTGCTTGTTTTTTAGACACCTCAGCTTGGTCTCAAAACTAATCCACCACTTATCCAGGAAAAGCCTGCCAAGACCAGCAAAAAGCCACCGCCATCAAAGGAAGAACTACTTAAACTAACTGTAAGTTTCAAATATCCCATTTTAGTGTAATCAGCCTATATTTGAGATAGAGAAAACATTAAAGATACTTGTGTTCTTCACAGGAAACTGTTGTGACTGAATATCTAAATAGTGGAAATGCAAATGAGGCTGTCAATGGTGTAAGAGAAATGAGGGCTCCTAAACACTTTCTTCCTGAGATGTTAAGCAAAGTAATCATCCTGTCACTAGATAGAAGCGATGAAGATAAAGAAAAAGCAAGTTCTTTGATCAGTTTACTCAAACAGGAAGGGATAGCCACAAGTGACAACTTCATGCAGGTAGGACACTTTACTGATTGTGTGGTAAGAACTCTTACCACTCAAATTCGAGAACTGATAAACTGTTGTGTATTTCTTCTAAGGCTTTCCTGAATGTATTGGACCAGTGTCCCAAACTGGAGGTTGACATCCCCTTGGTGAAATCATATTTAGCACAGTTTGCAGCTCGTGCCATCATTTCAGAGCTGGTGAGCATTTCAGAACTAGCTCAACCACTAGAAAGTGGCACCCATTTTCCTCTCTTCCTACTTTGTCTTCAGCAATTAGCTAAATTACAAGATCGAGAATGGTTAACAGAACTTTTTCAACAAAGCAAGGTCAATATGCAGAAAATGCTCCCAGGTAAGAGAATGCTGACTTGTTTGTTTTGTTTTTTTAATAGTATATCTAGAGATTTTTAGTACCTCGAATGGATTTATGTAGGTCAGATGGTCTGATTGTACTGCTCAGATAATGATAAACATGCTGCAGATCTTACCAATAAAAAGATGTATGATTAAACTACTTTCATTTGATCCGTATATTGAGTTTTTTTCATTTGCTGGGTTGGCTCTCTATTCTGCTACATGAATCTTGTATACTTGGGGACATCATTTGTGAAGTTCTGTTCTCTGGACAGGACAACTTGGTAAAATGAACTTTTAGATTATGCAAGTGGTTTTGTCTCTTCAGAAATTGATCAGAATAAGGACCGCATGTTGGAGATTTTGGAAGGAAAGGGACTGAGTTTCTTATTCCCACTCCTCAAACTGGAGAAGGAACTGTTGAAGCAAATAAAGTTGGATCCATCCCCTCAAACCATATATAAATGGATTAAAGATAACATCTCTCCCAAACTTCATGTAGATAAAGGATTTGTGAACATCTTAATGACTAGGTAAGATGGTTTTCTATATGTAGTAATGTTTCATGTACTAGAAAAGAATGTCTACAAGGCAGGAGACTAAGCAAGAAAACTCACTGTTTGGTTCTAACAAGACCTCTTTCTGTCCAGCTTCTTACAGTACATTTCTAGTGAAGTAAACCCCCCCAGCGATGAAACAGATTCATCCTCTGCTCCTTCCAAAGAACAGTTAGAGCAGGAAAAACAACTACTTCTTTCTTTCAAGCCAGTAATGCAGAAATTTCTTCATGATCACGTTGATCTACAAGTCAGCGCCCTGTATGCTCTTCAGGTGCACTGCTACAACAGCAACTTCCCAAAAGGTGAGGGGACTTGTATCAGAGGAGTGGTGTGGGGCAAGTCTTAAATAGCACACTAAATAATGGGCTTACTACTTCTTTTTAATTTTTTTTTAAAGGCATGTTACTTCGCTTTTTTGTGCACTTCTATGATATGGAGATTATTGAAGAAGAAGCTTTCTTGGCTTGGAAAGAAGATATAACCCAAGAGTTTCCGGGAAAAGGCAAGGCTTTGTTCCAGGTAAGTCTTTTGTAAAAAATTTGGTCTGCTTATTTCATTTTGCTTGGTATTAACTTCAAGTTAAGAGCCTTTTTCAACTGAAATACAGGGAAGATAGTCCTAGTTAGTAGTTTTTCTTCACCCATACATTTCATTCTGCACTGTTTAAAGCTATGATTAAGTAAAGCTACACAGTGAATCAGTTCTAGTGGTGTATAAGATGTTAGAGGTAGCTAACAAGTTTTTCAAGGAGTATAGCTACTGATATAGATGGGAGTGACTGTACAATTTTCGATTTAAGATTTTTAAAAAACGTCAGTAAAGAGGAAATTGTAACTGGGCACGTGGCTCATGCCTGTAATCCTAGCACTTTTAAGAGACTGAGGTGGGAGGATCACTTGAACTCAGGAGTTCAAGACCAGCCTGGGCAGCAGAGTGAAACCCTGTCTTTAAAAAATATAAAAAATTAGCCAGACGTGGTGACATGTTCCTGTGGTCCTGGTCCCAGCTACTTGGGAGGATGTCTTGAGCCCAGGAGGCAGAGGTTGCAGTGAGCTGAGATCATAACACTGCACTCTAGCCTGGGCAACAGAGTAAGACTGTGTCTCAAAAAAAGAAAAGAACAGTTTAAATATATATTTATTTTTTAAAAAAGAGATGCTTTTGATTTCTCACAATTTAATTGTGTCTTATTGAATGAAATTGTAGCCCTAGGGGAGGAACATCAGGGCATTCTCAAATCACAGCGAATGCATTAATCACTTGAAGAGCAGTTTAAAAGTAGGTTCCAGGCCTAATCCCAGAGATTCTGGTTTAGTAGGTCTATGTACAAAATCCAGGGGATTCTCATGCTACTAGTTTTCCAGGGGGCCCAGGCTTTGAGAAACATTGGTCCTACAGCGCATCTTGCTACCTTTTTATTGCTGATTATAAACTAGATTCATGAGGCTCATCCGTGCAGGATTATATCTAGCTCTGTGTTGTCCCAAATCTGGAACTGTTTGTATAACTTAATATACAAATTGTTGTAAGGATGTCCTTGTTTCATATTCTAAAACTGTAGTACCACCTAAAACTTTCTGGATGGATTTCCATTTATATTGTGAACTATTTTAAGTTACAAATCTTAATTTATAGGTGAATCAGTGGCTAACCTGGCTAGAAACTGCTGAAGAAGAAGAATCAGAGGAAGAAGCTGACTAAAGAACCAGCCAAAGCCTTAAATTGTGCAAAACATACTGTTGCTATGATGTAACTGCATTTGACCTAACCACTGCGAAAATTCATTCCGCTGTAATGTTTTCACAATATTTAAAGCAGAAGCACGTCAGTTAGGATTTTCTTCTGCATAAGGTTTTTTTGTAGTGTAATGTCTTAATCATAGTCTACCATCAAATATTTTAGGAGTATCTTTAATGTTTAGATAGTATATTAGCAGCATGCAATAATTACATCATAAGTTCTCAAGCAGAGGCAGTCTATTGCAAGGACCTTCTTTGCTGCCAGTTATCATAGGCTGTTTTAAGTTAGAAAACTGAATAGCAACACTGAATACTGTAGAAATGCACTTTGCTCAGTAATACTTGAGTTGTTGCAATATTTGATTATCCATTTGGTTGTTACAGAAAAATTCTTAACTGTAATTGATGGTTGTTGCCGTAATAGTATATTGCCTGTATTTCTACCTCTAGTAATGGGCTTTATGTGCTAGATTTTAATATCCTTGAGCCTGGGCAAGTGCACAAGTCTTTTTAAAAGAAACATGGTTTACTTGCACAAAACTGATCAGTTTTGAGAGATCGTTAATGCCCTTGAAGTGGTTTTTGTGGGTGTGAAACAAATGGTGAGAATTTGAATTGGTCCCTCCTATTATAGTATTGAAATTAAGTCTACTTAATTTATCAAGTCATGTTCATGCCCTGATTTTATATACTTGTATCTATCAATAAACATTGTGATACTTGATGTAGTGATGTGTGGCTGGCTGTAAATGGCATCGACAATCTGGGAGAACAGTCAGCTTTGTTGTTGAGGTATAGGAGACCCACCTTAGTTTGACTTACGGGCTTTCAAATGTTTGTTTTTCTGCTGTACAAGCCTGAGTTCCAGAAGGAATTTTTAGACTCTTCATGATGAGACCCAAGATTTAATTAAGGTGGTTATTTTCCTTTGAGTTACTAAAACTAACCAATATAAATGATTTTTATAATCAAAGATTACAAGTCTCATGAATGTGGAGGAACATTGCTACACATAGCAACTACAATTTGTTGACATTTATCTTTTGTCAGACTGAAATACATGATGATGTCTGGATAAGCTTAGCTGTCCTGTAAGCATCATTCCCAGTAGCTGCCCCTGAATGTCCAGGAAGATCCCTGCTTCCCCTGGAAAAATTCCATTGTCCCAATAAAATTGACTTTTGATTCAACTTAAACCTCTGCATGTTTTCCAAAAGCACATATAAAGGATTTCCCTCCAGCCCTGGAACATTCTGACAATCCTAGGGTTACTTCTAACATTGGCATGGATGAGGACTCTTGAAGTGTGCTACTGGAGTTCTGGTTGATGTCAACACCGAAGAACAACCTGTTGGTGATGGGGGAGACCCTCAAGGCAAATGATCACTGCTGAACCCATCAGAAACTTGAAGTCAGAAGAGGCTGCCTGCACATGCTCCTACGGGTGGTGGGCAGAGCCAATCAATGTTTTTCTGTCTGTCTTGGGCCAGGGAAGCTAAACCTTGTGTTATGGTACCTTGTTAAAGTCATAAGCTTTTGGTGAGTACTTTGAGTACAGCAAAATTAAGGCTAAGCAGAGATTTGTATGAACCTACTTGAGATTTTAAAAGAGCTGTAAGTTGTTTATCTGCCCAACCTTCCCCACCAAGGGGAGGAAACTAATTTTTAACCTAGCAAAAGGCGCAAGTGGTTAGACAGATGGATCAGCTATTCAATTCCTCTTATTGCTGGAATTTCCCCAATTCAGCCAGGGTATCAGACTAAAGGAAGTGTTAGACTTGGCCGGAAGTGTTAAACTTGGGCCGGGTGCAGTGGCTTGCGCCTATAATCCCAGCAGTTTGGGAGGCCAAGGTGGGTGGATGACCTGAGGTTGGAGTTCAAGACCAGGCTGGCCAACATGGAGAAACCCTGTACTCTTCCAGAAAAATACAAAATTAGCCGGGCGTGGCGGTGCATGCCTGCAATCCCAGTGACTTGGGAGGCTGAGGCAGGAGAATCACTTGAACCTGGGAGGCGGAGGTTGCGGTGAGTCAAGATGGCACCATTGCACTCCAGCTAAGCAACAAGAGCGAAACTCCGTCTCAATAAAAAACTAAACCCAGTGCGTAGTGGTTTGTTATTGCTTACAGAATCATGCTTTAACCTTACCACCACATATGTGTCAAGAGCTACTCAAAATAACCTGTAGAGAATGTATAATACTGCTGCTACCTTGTTCTAAAGACACCTAACAGTGCACTTTATAACCTGCCATACTGTGGAATGGCAGTATTTGGATATAATTGGGATGTACCTTGCACGATGGCCAAGGTCTTTAGTATCAGCATGCAGTGACTAATTTTCATTCACTTCGTGGTGACTTCAAAATAAGATTGCACATCTTGACTGCCCCCAATTTTTTTCCTTTATATACTGCAAAATTGAAAGTTGTCCAATTTTGCCCATTCTTAAGCCTCAGTAGGGCTTCACCCCCCAGGTTCCCCACACCAAAATTTTCTCAGGGTCACCAGTAACTCCATATATCTAGTAGGTTTTGTTCCTCCTGTAGGCAGCATTTGACAAGTTGGACTCATTCCTTGAAAGTGTTAACTTGTTCCCAGGACACCTCCTTTTTCTTGCTTTTCAGTTTCCAATGGGAGATGCCTGATCTCAACACTTTTTCAGTTGCTGTCATACTCTGCATCCAGTCTAGCATCAAATCATGTTGATTGCATTCCAAACATTTTAGAAATTGAACAACTTGCTTCTTCAACCACCACCCTCATTTCTCACCTAGGTACCACAGTAGCCTTAACTGGCCTTCCTGCTTAGCCCTCGCCTCCATTTTGTCTTCTCAACACAGCACCACTTGGCTCAAAACCCACCAAATGGCTTCCCACCTAGTGGGATTTTTATGTCAAAATACTTAATTCGGTCTACATCGCCCTGCATCTGATTTCCTTACCCCTCTCCCCATCGTTGCCCCACGACCTGTTTCTCTGATCTAATTTCCTACTGCTGGCACTTAATCCTTCTGCTCCCACCACACTGGCCTTGCTGCTCCTAGGACATGCCAAGCATCTTCTTACCTTGGAGGTTTTATGTTCCTCCTTTCTTCTGGATAACTGGATGACTGGCTTTCTCCCCTTCCTCAGGTCTTGGCTCAAACGTCACTTTTATTAGTAAAGTCCTCATTGTCAATTCTGATAACCTCCTGCAGATCATAAAGGGCAGGAAAGAAATTCACATATATTTTAAAAACTAAGCACATCCTCATCCCTCTTTTTGTATCTCCATGTCTCATTACATGACATACTGCATGTTTATATCTGATTCCTGCTAGAATATGAACAGCATGAAGTATTTGACAGTTTTTTTCACTGCTGCATTTCCAGCATCTAGAACAGTGCCCAGTAAACACTCAAATATTTGTTCAACCTAATCATGAATTAATAAAATTATCCTACATGGCAGGATGTGGACATAGAGGAAAGAACCTAATCATGAATTAATAAAATTATCCTACATGGCAGGATGTGGACATAGAGGAAAGAAGTAGTGGAAAGACCTCAGACTCAAGTTGTAGATCGATCTAGGGATAATCTCTACCACTTACAAGCAGGGTGATCTTAGGTAAGATTTTTTTATCTGAGTCTTGATTATTTTAGAAACTGTTTTAGAAAATTTAGCTTGGGCAACATGGGGAAACTCCGTGTCTACAAAAAAAAAAAAAAAAACTTTGCTGGGTGTGGTGGTGCACACCTGTAGTCCCAGCTACTCAGGAGGCTGAGGTGGGAGGATCACCTGAGCCCAGGGGGTCGAGGCTGCAGTGAGCCATGATCGCGTCACTACACTCCAGCCTGGGCAACAAAGCGAGACCCTGTCTCAAATGAATGAATGAAAACGTGGCTAACGTGCAGCTGTAGTTCCAGCTACTCTGAAGGCTGAGGTGGGAGGATTGCTTGAGCCCAAGAGTTTGCAGCTGCAGCGAACTATGATGGTGCCACTGCACTCCAGCCTGGGAGACAGAGCAAGACCCTGTCTCAAAAATTTAAAAAACAAAAACAAAAAACAAAAACAAAACAAAAAAAACTGTACAGGGTTAATACTTAAGGATTGTCATGAGAGCTAGACAAGTTAACATGTGAAAGTCAATAGGGAGAGCATCCCATATAGCAGCCCAATAGATATGAATGTCACCCTCCCAGTAGCCTTTCTAAGATTCCTCCCCAGGAGAACTGCTTCCATCTTCTGAACTAACAAGATCACTGGCTAGATCTAATTGAAGGGTATAGCTCAGACTTACTTGATCAATCAAAAGCATTCACCAGTTGACTTTCCTCTTTCCTACTTTGTTTTTCTCCCAGCTTCTCAGTCTCCTTTAAAGGCCCTCTTTTGTCACCTGGCCCCTGAATGTTGCTGTTCTGCCTCCCTTCTTCAACACGGTCATTCACTTCTGAGGATTCGATTACCAGCTAACCGCTGATGACACTTGTATCTTCAGCCCAAACCCCTTTCCAGAATGTCAAACTCGCACATCCAACCAGTCCCTGGACAGTTTTTCTGAATGTGCCACAAGCACTTCAAACTCAATATTCATCCCTAAACTCTTTGCAGCAAACCAACACTCCCTCCCTTTCTAACTCTGGAACCATAGCCTCATGCAAACCAGAAACGAGTCACTTTCTCACTAGCTTAAGACACAATTTCCAAGCAAAGCTCTCCAAGAATATGCAAGAGCCCTGGACGAGGAGACACCTGAGCACAGGGCAGAGAGTAGCGGACACAGGACATTGAAGTTCCACAGCCTGCCCCGCCCCGCAGCCCTGCCCTCGCCTGTCCTGACCCAGCAGGAGCGCAGGGCGCTGAGCTGGACCCAGGTCCCCAACCGATCAGCAACGCTGTCCCACAGCGCCCTCTGCCGGGCTGCCGGGAGACCACCCCTGGAAGGAGGGTGGGGTTGCAAGGCTCTGGCCCTTGTCCTGTACAGCCCACGCGGAGGCAAGACCGAGACCCACCGGTCACGCTCATGGAGAGGGGGAATGAGAATGTTGCCCTGGGTTTGGTCTCCTGTCAGCGGAGACGATGTGACTGGTAAATGAGCAGTGGCTCCTCTAAAGGTGCTCTGGTCAGCTGCGCAGCACGCAAAGCCACACCACAGAGCAGAGCGCAGGCCCCAGCTTCCCGGGTCATCAGTTTTGGGAGCCTAGGCCAATCGCTGCACCTTCCCAGGCTCTATTTGACTTACCTGTGACATTATCCTTGGTCTGCCCAGCTCTCCGGTGCGTTTCGAAGGGCCGCATCGCCAGGTATGGAACAGCAGTGATGGACAGCTGTGGAACTGTTCTGCAAGTCCATGCGTCTCGCAAATATGTACTGAGTACAGATTTGCCAGGGGCTACTCCAGGGGCAGAGATGTAACAGTAATGAGACAGTCTTCTTTCGGAACAAAGTTTCTGGGTGATAGCAGAGAGACAGTAAATCAACACACGTACAGCGCCGGGCAGTAAAAAGTGCTGTATGTAGAGATGCAGAATAAGGGCTAGGCAGTGGAGTGAGCGCTGCTTGAAAGAGGGGTTCCGGGACGGCCTCAGGAGGAGGTGGCCTTCGAGCAAAGATCTAAGAGATGCCAGGGAGTGAACTCTACAGCCATCTGGAGGAAGAGCATTCCTGGCAGAGGGGATGCCAAGCTGGAGGCCCTGAGATTGGGAATGCACCTGGCCTGTCTGAGGAACAATCTGGCCAAGCA